CTGCAAGAAACATGTTAATGTACTCAAGTTTAAGCAGTTCTGTACACAAGCATATATGTTCTTAATTGATAATGTTCCACGTGTATGTTATAAAAATGTTGAAGGTCCATGAATAAGCTTCACACCATTGTTGCATAAAGCATTTGCTCATTCATAGGAGCTAATTGAATTAAATGATTGGATGGGGTTTGAAAATTTGAAAGGATGCAATAAGATTCTGTGAAAAATCAGAATACAGCTTTCTCATAAAAAATCTCAGAATTATAATCTGACAATTTCATCACATGTGGGTATCTTCAAACCCTCAAATAAACATAAGTGAATGTAATGGATTCGACTGGAATTCAAATCCAGCTCTCTGATTCAATCAATCCAAGCTGCTATTCACTACGCTTCCTATATATATGTTGGGTTATATATATATATATATATATATATATGTTAAGAAATGGACAAGGTCCGACAATTTATTTATTAAAGACATTTTATTATGTTTAACGTTGTTATTTTATAGATACAAGTATTTAAGCAAATGCTCTGTTTATGATAAACAGTATTAAATAACATTTACCGGTTCCGTATAGGATGCAGGTTCAAATCCTGTCAAAGAACGAATATTTTCTATGAAAATTTCTCGGACATTCAGGCCGGTAAATGTTATTTAATACTGTTTATCATAAACAGAGCATTTGCTTAAATACTTGTATCTATAAAATAACAACGTTAAACATAATAAAATGTCTTTTAAATATATATATATATATATATATATATATATATATATATATATATATATAATCACACACAAGGGTTATATATATATATATATATATATATATATACACATATATACACACTCACACAAAGGGTTATATATATATATATATATATATATATAAACACTCACACAAAGGGTTATATATATATTACACACACATTAATTCAACTCGGACCATTAACCTTTTTATATATATATATATATATATATATATATATCTATATATGCACACACAGTTTAATTTCTGGGAAAATGCTTATACAGCCAAGGTGGAAATGCAAAAAAAAACAAAAAAACACCATTACTAGGAAAAGAAAAAAAAAATAAAACAGAAAAAAAATCAAAAGCTACAAGTGGGTGTGAATGTGTGCACATATATCTAAAATTTTAATTTTCAATATTTGCTGTCTCTCTATTGCCACCTTGCGCATGTATGAAACTAGCAAATATCCAAGTTTTTTTCATCTATTGGTACATAAAAATGTGTTTAGTGCACTATCAGACATTACTAAATAACTATAAAAAAAAAGTTTTGATTTCACTTGAAAACAATAAATTTTGTACATATTCTTGTCCTAAAATAAAACAAGTCAAAGAAATAAAAAAGTATTTCTTTAATTTCTTGTTAAAATTTACACAACAGCAGATCTGTTTTTTTTCTTGCTCACTAACAATGTTCAGAAAACTTCATTTTAAATAAAGATTTGTTTTGCGACTGAAGTCAGTGTCAAAAACTCTAAGAAGAAAAACACAAAATATTCAATTCAGCAATTTTTAATGCCTTTTTCACTTTTTGTAACTTAATGTTAACAAAGCAAGTAAATTATTTGATTTATTTACAAAAAAATAAAAAAATAAAAAAAATAAAATAATCCCCCATTTTCACAGTCTTAAATTCTTTGGGTGTAAAGAGTCATTATTTAAAATTTATTTGCAATTGTTTTGAAGTTTAAAAGAGAAAAAATAATAAAGAAATAAGGCCTTATTCTATGAATTATTTGGACTAGTATCCTTATTTCTATTGTTTTGATCATTGTTTTGATTAAGGGACTCTCTGGCTTTCCTTGTATAGCTTTTTGTTTTCCTCTTTCCAATTCAAGCAATGACAAAATGAAAAAAAAAATAAACAAAATTCTTTAAAAAATTTTGAATAATCAGAAGGCTGGGGATCTTGTCAACCAAAAATGTAATGATCAAAAAAATAATTATGAGAAGGATTGATGAAATAACAATATTTTATTTTGGAATTCCGAAAACACCTGGAAGGAAGTAGTGTGTATTGGTCAAAATACAATGATCGAAACAATAAAGATCAGGATACTCGTTTGAAGAATTTATAAAATGATGAAAATGGTTCAAGTCAGATTTTTCAGCCAATCAGAAAATTCCTTTGTGGGATGTAATTTCAGAAAATTTCACAAACCAAATGTTTAAACTGATGGCAAGAATTTTCTGCTAAAGATGATCTGAAAGCAACTGAAGTATAAATGAGAAAATTTCTTTTTAGGGATGAAGATTTGTAAAAGGAAAGATTTTCCAGATTTCAACTTGCCATTGAAAAAAAAAAAAAAAAAAAAAATAGAGCAAATTACAAGAATTTAGCTAAAAAATAAAGAACTGAAGAACAGTCTTCAGGTTTTTTTTCAGATTTCAGCTGATGTTTTTGTTTTTTGTGGTTTTACTTTATCAAAAGAAACTGAAAATTTCAACAAAAGCTAAATAAAAATAATAGGTTTATTTATTCACAATTGTTTTGTTTTTGTAGAAAAAAGGAAACTTAAGAAAAAAAAAAATTATATATATATATATATATATATAGATATAGATATATATATATATAGATATAGATATATATGAATGATAGACGAGTTTGCCAAAAATGTATACACACTTCAGGAAAGAAAACAAAATTCTCTTGTGTAGTTTTATGAAATTGTGATGACACTGTTTACTGTAGTTCAATATTTCTTCTTGGCAGATGGCATTACATTGATGGCCCTTAGACAAGAAATTGAAAATGTATTTACAGCAATCTCACTGGACACTTTGGCCAATGTTGCTCAAGCAATAGTTTGCTTGACTTAAATGTCTGGAAGCTAAAGGCCACAATTTTGGGACATCTCTTGTGATTGTAGAGTCCAAAATTAGCTTGTCTGAATAAAATTTAGTATTACAATAGCTATACAAGTTTTTCCTTTCCTGAAATGTGTATACACTTTTTTTGTAGACCCTGTATATGTGTGTTGTAAAAGATCCCTTTTATGTTGACACATTTTATTTAAATTGTTTCACCTATGTATTTATTGGAACAAGTTATGGTCTATAATGTAAAATCTTGCTTCAGGTTTTAGTTTATTATTTTGTTTTGTGTTAAGTCTCTCACTGTTTTTGAAGCAATTGAAACAAATTTTATATTAAGTTTAAATAAATTCTTTTCAATTGTAGTTGACATTGAGTTTCGCAGAATTAAAAAAGAAAATACAATGTTGATAAAACTAGACAATAGCACATACCGACTTGATAACTGAAAAGAATTTATCTAAACTTAATATAAAATTTGTTAGAACTACTTCAAAAACAATAAATGATTTAATACAAAACCAAATCATAACCTTAAGTGTGAAGCAGAAATTTACAAAATCTCTATATATGTATTTTGTAAGGAATTAATGAATTTTTTTTATCCAACATTATATTTAGTGGGTATGCTTATTTAAGTTGACGCTCTATTTTTCCTTTTAACAGTGTGGCATTTGAGACTTAATAAAGATAAAGTGTGTTTCATCAGGGTTTGAAGTGGTATCCCTTCTGTAGAAGAAACCATGGTTTAATCCAGTGTGCTTTTGACCACTCAGCCACAGAGAACTTCAAAGCCTAGTAAAGTTTGTTCTTTAAAAAAAATGGATAAATGAGCTTTACTGAGCTTTGAAGCTCTCTGTGACCAATTGGTAAAAAGGACACTAGATGAGACAAATGTTTGCCCTACAAAAGCAGATGCAGATTAAGACCCTATCAGAGGCACATTTATTTTAAGACACTGAAATGCCTCATCTGGTAGATGCAATTCACACTGTTAAGAAAGAAAGATAAAAGAAAGAAAAAGTAAAAAGAAAAAAAAAGAAGAAAAAAGAAAGAAAAAAAAGAAAATGTATCAACTCAAACACATTGACTAAAATATAATCTTAAAATTAATAATGTTGGATTAAAAATTCATTAATTCCTTACAAAATACATATATAGAGATTTTGTAAATTCATGCTTCACACTTAAGGTTATGATTTGGTTTTGTATTAAATCATTTATTGTTTTTGTAGTTCTAACAAATTTTATATTAAGTTTAGATAAATTCTTTTCAGTTATCGAGTCGGTAGGTGCTATTGTTTAGTTTTATCAACATTGTATTTTCTTTTTTAATTCTGCAAAACTCAATAACGACTAGTCAAAAAGAATTTATTCACAATTTGTTTAAATTACTTCAAAAACAGTAAGAGATTTAGACAATCTTTAACCTTCATGTCAGAAAAAAAAATGGAGTGTCAAAAGGCCTGCTTTCCCCTTGACACCACTTATTATGTTTAACTACCTGCCCCCCCCCCCAGCAATGTTTTTTTTAAAAAGCAATAATTAGAATTAGAATAAAATCTAAACATCTGAAAGTGAATTTATACATATTTTTTTGTTCTTCAGAATTGACCACAAAAATAATAAGCACTATTTATTTATTAGATTGTCTATTGGAATGGTTGGCAAAATATTGGCTAATTGTCAAAATGATAAATGATAAGGATTTCCTTATAGTTGGTTCATATATTTTAATAATTTAGTAAATGTTTATAAATTCCTGAATAAAAAATTGTTTTCACTTTTATTTCCTTATAAATTGGTAAATGCAAATATTGTGTTGCATTAGTTCTAATTGTATTAGCTTTTAGAATGTTTTAAATATAAAATTATTCTTGTAAATAAACAATTAGTGTTTAATATTTTTGTGGTAAATTCTCAAGAACAAAGAAAATGTATAAATTTACTTTCATCATATGTTTAGGTTTTATTACAATTCTAATCAACGCTTTTTAAAACAATAAACATTGCTGAGGAGTGAATGTAGTTAAAAAAATAGCAGTGTCAAGGGAAAAACTGTCCTGTTGACACTGTAGCAGGATTTTTTAAAAATGCATGTCTATATACATCCCATCTGACTCAAGGGAGACTGGAACCTATTTTATTCTGGGTGATGAATCTTGTTGATATGATTTTCACAATGTTCCGTAATGTCCAATACTGAATAGATATATTGTTCACAATTTTGCCAAAGACATTTTTTTTTGTTCAGGCCAGTCATCTGCAAATGCTGGTTGACCAAATGATAGAAAAGCCCTTGCCGCTGACCAAATGTCATCTCACACGAATCATATTTACAGCTCCATTTTTGGCCAGTGTCAAACTGAATAGTTTCTATATGACCAAAGAAATTGCCACAGTAAACGACCCTGTTATGAACAGCAAGGCAGGAAATGGGTTCCTTGCTGGCAGTGTAGAAAATGACTGGGGCCTCCCGGGGGTTGCTCGAATTGTAGATATTTAACCGTTTGTCATGACTGCCTGTTACAAGGAGGTCATCTTCAACATGGAGGCATGAAATTGTTGATGCATGATCTTGGAGGCATCGGAGAAGCTTCCCCGATGTGATATCATGCACCTGAAGAGTTTTGTCACTCGAGCAGCTAAAAATAAGACTGTGATGAACTTTTATCGAGTAAAGTAGACGGTGATAGCAGTTCAACGTTTTTAAAAGAAGCCCCGTCATTGCATCCACGATGAGGATTGACGCATCGTAAGCCCCGACACAGAGAAGTTTTTGTGCACCTTCTGTACAGGTGGCAAGGCAATTAATTGGTTTGGAGCCATAGGATAACTCACTGGTCTTTCTTAATGATTTCAAATTGAGCTTAGTCACCCCACCATCAGCCAGGCCAACAAATAAATTCCCCCAGTTTTCATGGAGGGAATAGATTTTTTTGTAAGTGTCAATTTTCGAGCAGAGCTCACCTGTTTCTTCATCAAACACGATCAGCAACTCACTGGCCCCTCCAGAGAAGAGACGGATTTTATTCGAGCTAATTCTACACACAAGCATGCACTGAACATTGAATGGATTGCAGTTATAAACCTGCAAGCGTTCCCCACTGCCGATAGAAAATTTACAAGGTGAATTCCCTTGGTACGATGCATAAAGCTGGTTTTCAAAAATATACAAACCATTCACGGGACTATTGGCACCTTTGTAGGTAGGTAGTTGGTTTCTGTCAACATGTCTGCGTGGAAATTTTTTAGTACGGACAACATGCAGTGAACTGAGACTATTTAAAATGTTTAAGGGGTCGGAAGGAAATTTGGGATCACCGCTTATTTCACTCTGAATCACATTAGAAGTGGCACTTGACTCATTTAAAGATCTGATGGGACTGTTTTGTTTGATATCTGACTTGCTCTTCATCAAAGACTCAGTGGAAACAGGACTACAGATTGTAAATTCTTTGATATTATCGACATCGTTCACGTCAGGATCCATATTATCTTCTTTGTTATTTAGAAGAGGGTCAGTAACATCCGCACAGGAAACTGGCTCGTTTTTCCCTGTGGAAGGATGCGTTTGATTTTCAGATGTGGTCCCTTTGAAGCCAAATTCCTTTTCAGGGGATCTGAAATTTTTTTGTTTGACTTCTGGACTTTCAAAGTCCTCCACCTTGACAATATCCAATTTGTCATCACAATTCGACCTTCCTTCTTCCGACGACTTTTGCACAGATGATGATTTTTCGAGAGATTTCTCCTTCCCTGGAAATTCCTTCTGCTCCAGATTCCCTGTGGACAGCGAACTAGAGTCGCTGGCAGAAACAGGTTCAGAGAAGGTTCGCTTTCTGTGAAACTTCATATTCAGAGGTTCAAGACAAACCCTTGGGTTCATTCGTGCTGGCACAGAAAATTTGGGGGATGATCTTTTAATAAAAGTGCAAACAGTACGACTTGAGGTTGATTCGCTGTCACTGAAGCTGTGCTCGTTACTCGAAGCAACAGATTCTTTCATTGTAGCAGACATGTTTTGCTTTTTCCAGGAGAGTGTCAGTTGTTCCAGAAAATTATTTGGCATGCTACCAAGATACGTCATCGACATGCCACCCGACTTTCCAGTGTTTTCATTCTGGCTATCAGACTCTAAGGGATTTCTTGGTGATGAAGGGGAACAAATATTTTCAACAGTTTTTCCAATTTCCATTTGGTGTTCAGCCTGATTTTGAAGGGCAGGATTTTCTTCACTGTTGTCAGCAGGTAGTAATCGAGGTACAAAAAAAGTTTCTTCACCCTCAACTTGCAGAGGGGGTGGGGTTAGGGGTTCTTTTTTAATTTGAACTGACTCAAAATTGATCACAGGTTGCATTTCTGGAGTCATACTTCGGGTGGGTCGTAGATCTTCGTCAGTCACAGAGTTAATAGGTTCATCACCTCTTGGCATCTCCAGGGAGTCATCAGGAGTAACGTCATCAGTTTGTTGATCAGATCGATTTATTTTTTTTTTGGCACGCTTTGTCTGAAATGAACCAGATTTGTGTTTTGTCTGAGATTCACTTTGCTGTTTTTTATGACTGTCAAGAGATGATAACTTCAGTTCAGAGTGAGACTCTTGAGTTTCAGTTAGAGAAGGAGGAGGTGTTAGACGTTCCTTTTTTATTTGGACTCTTTCAAAAGACTCATTTTCAGTAGATGCCGATAGAAGTCCTAGCCTTCGAGTATTGTCAGAAAGTGTGTCTGACATACCATCAACAGTAGCATTTTTAGTCTGCCTACCATCAGAAAAGGGTTTTGTAGAAAGAACTCTATTATCACAAGTGTTGTTGTGAACAAGGCCTTCAGAACTGGACAGAGTCATGTCAATATTTTCCTGAGATGGAGGTGGTGAAAGTGGCTCTTGTTTGATTGTAACATGTCCAAGCCCTAGAGAGGGTTCTCCATTTTGGGTAACATTTGCACAAAAATTTACGTCTGCATTTCTGTTCTCAGAAAAGCCGTTATCTGTAGGGTTAGTATCACTGTGAGAGGAAGTCATATTAAGAGGAAGAGAGGCTCCATTATTCTGGCATTGTCTACTTGCCTTATTTCTGCAAACAGTAGCAACGGTTGAAGGTTCATCACAAGGCAAAGGGTTTGCAGGAACAGAAGATTGGATCTGAAGCGGGAATGTCGACAAGTTAGATGAATGATCTAAAGAACAAGGCAAAGATTCCTGTGTTTGGTTAGTGCTCCCGTTCCCAGATGAAATCATTCCTGACATTCCAGAATAGTAATTGCTTGGCTGTTGGCTAGGCTGGTTCTGTATTGTGGTTTCCGATGGTTCCTGGTGGTGTGAAATAGATGACCAACCCCAAGCTAAGTTTGTTTGGGATGAGGTTGATGCCGGCTGAGAATTTGGTATTGGTGCCACCTGTGATTGGTGGGTTGAGGTCTGCTGGAGTGATGAGGAATTCATGGCATCAACACTACTAGTCTTGACATTCATAGCATCCTGAAGAATTTTTAACCGCTGCTCACGTATCTTGCTTTCTTCTTCAAGCAACAGTTTGTGCTCAACACAGCATCGTTGCAATGCCATCTGCGAGTCTTCAATCAACTTGCGCAGATAATTCATCTTTTCATTTGTATCTACAATAGATGAACGGATTTGCTCTTCACGAAGAGTCAGCGAGTAAACTTTGCTGAAAACGCTTTCAGAATTACTCTCATTAGAAGTGGGTATATTTTCTGAAGAGTTTGATTGGGTGCCAGTAGTCACAGGATCACTGGAGTTAGTCTGTGTTAAACTTTCAGAAGGATTAGACAATGTGGTGCAAGACGAGGAATTATTCTCCAATTGTATATTATTTTGCTTTGAATTGATATTTGCTGGTTCATTGGTAACAGTATTCTCCTGGGGCAAGATGGTTTCAACAGGTGATGATATGGCATCAGACAAACACTGATCAGCTGATTTAGCATTAGATATATCCTGTGCAGATAACGAACCTGCTTGGGAGCTCTCAGAGACAGTCTTGTTCCTGACAGATCCTTTCTCAGTGCTTGAAACTTTACCTTTCGTATTTTGAGGCTCGAGTTTCTCTGAGTGGGTAGAAAGCCTTGTATTTTGGTTGTCAGTATTGTCATCAGCTTCTAAATTTTCGCGTTTTATCAGATAGGCAATTTGTTCTTCCATTCCTGCAGGCAGTTGAAGTTCCGACATCTCACCCACATCTGTTATATCCTGACTACTACTGTCATACAACCCAGAAAGTTGCATTGTGAGTCTGGGAACAGCCAGTTTTTTATTCTGCAATTTTGTATATGACTGCAACAAAGAACTGAGGTGCATCTTTTCTTTACGGCTCAGCCTAGGTAATTTCATCATTTTCACCAGTTCTTCCTGTCGGACATTAGCTGTTGCTTGTTTGGCAGTGGGATTTGGTTCATCCTTGGAATGGGCGAGGTTTTCCTGGCTATTAGTTTTTAATTCAATGTTTGAATTTGGGGAGTTTGTTGAATGCTTTCCAGTGAGGTTATTATGTAGTTTTGTCACTAATTCCTTGTTCACTTTAAAGCCATTTTCATTTGGTTCCAAAGAAAGAACTTTTGGTAAAGTCTTCTGCTCTTTGGTTGGGTTTAAATGAGACTGTTTATCCTTTTCACTGCTGTCATTTGTTTTTGAAGAATGAATTTTAACCAGGGGTTTTGGCCGCATGCCAGGACTTGTCCCAAGATTTGCAACATCGGCCTTATTCAGCTTCATTCTTGATTCTAAAGTATCAGATTTTGATAAAGTTTTTTGCTTCTTATTTAGATTAGAACTTGAAGCTGAATTTGGAGAGTCAACTGAACAGAAACTTCGCTTCAAAGATGGAATAGAATCTTCTTTGGAATTGGTGCAACCAGAACTTTTTGCATTAGAATCCTTTGGATTTACTGGAGAATTTGTTTTAGCTGCAGTACTATTCTCGCAAAGTTTGGTTTTGTTCTCGTTAGAAATCTGACGCTTTTCCATTGGGTTACCATTTTGTGACAAAACTTGCAGTTTCTTTTTCAGAGGCGTGTTTCTTTTATAAACAGGTGCAACACAAATGTTATCACTTTTTTTAACTAAAGTAGGCGCATTCAATCTCCTGCTTACATTGTCACCTGAACTACTGCATTTTTCAGTCACTTTAGTAGTACCAACTTTGTCAATAACAAACAATGATTTTTCTTTCTTCTTATTAACAGCAGATTTCACATTACCTCCTTTACCTTTTAATTTGGAAACATTAGACTTTAATTTACTAACTTGAGGGGATGTGTTAACTTTGGGTTTGCTGAGAGACGAATCACTTTGAGAAAGCTTTTTGCTTTTTGGAATTCTTGCAGAATTATGTTTAGCCCAAGTATTCTTGGAATTGCCAGCTGCTTTTGATGAACTCTTTATAGATGAAGCTTCTAATGGTAACTGCTGACCCTCAGAATAATAATTAGAGTCAGTAAAGGACTTTGAGTTCTTGGTAGCCAGGGGGGGTGTCTTGTTTGAAATAAGGCCTTTTCTCAGTTTTTGCTGATTGGTCTGGAGTACAAATTTTTTGGACATTAAAGGTTGTATTGCATTTTTTGTTTTGTTCCTATGGTTTGGATGCTGTTGGTTCAATTCTGCTATGTTGCCATTTAGCAAGTGACCTGGCTTCTTCCAGGATCTTTTATTATTTGCATTAAAACTAAAAAACTTCTCATTGTAATTATTCCAGTAAGGGCGGTTATTGTGAAACGGCTTCAACTTTGAACCCTGCACTTCTGGAGAATTATTTTTCCAGCACCAATCGTCTTTAGGCTTCCAGTTGGAAAATGGAGGCCGTAATTTATTGGCAATCAAAGACTCACGTTTTAAAGGATCGGAAGAGCTTAAGTGCCAGTTTGGATTTGGCAAAAGACTCTTCTTTGATTTTTGCCTACTGACTTTTTGTAAAGTATGTCGAGATAACGACGACGACGACGACTTCGGCTTAGCTTTTTTCTTTTCTTTAGCCTTTTCGAAAGCTTGTTTATGTTTTTGCTCATTCAAGTGCCGGCCGTAATCCACAAGATTTTCGGTCGATGTTTGGCACAATACACACTGATGCATTGTGTCCTTTGATTTCTGTTCTAATTTCACATGGTGCATTAACGACCAAAGATGTTCCTTAAGCTCCCATTCAGAAGAATACGACGTTTTACACAGTTGACACGACACCTCATTATTTTGGTTTTCGGTACACGCCATCGTCAGGTCATTTATTCAGAACACCCCTGATCGACCAGGAATATAACAGGGAATGTGTTTCTTAAGAAGATAAGCGCGGCTTTCGTAAACAAACAACAAGCATCGAGCGTTTTCAATTTAATAGTAAATAAATAAATCCATCAAGTAACTAAACTTAACAACTTTTTCCCGCTGAACTGAACGAAGATAAAATAACTTCTAGAGAAAAATTAGATTCGTTTATTTACTTACTCCTTGGTATCTCCACAGGCAAAAAATATCTCGTAGGGTTATAAATTCTAAACACAGTCAAAAACACGAGCGGCTTTGTTTAGTTAGTAAATAACCAGTTAATCTTTCGCAGTAGTAGTAAAAAATACTTCACATGCTGGGTTTGTATCTGCCACGCCACGAAATGAAGGCTTTAGCTTGCACTATTTTAAAGTGTCGAAAATAAAAACCCAGGGATGTAGAATCTACATGAATCCGATGGGAATCTTTACGGAGTATCGAATTTTTAGCAAGGGATTTTTTTTAACATGAGGAGGGCTACACGGTAACCCTGTACCGCCATTATGATTAAAAGCAAATCGCATACCGGAAGTAAAGCCTAAGGGAGGTAACTCCTGTTGACTTAAAGCACATGTGTACATTTCCGGTGAATTGGCTTCGTATATTTTTGATTTCATTTTTTAAGGACAATTTGTACTGATTGTATCAGTCAATGTATTTGGATAAGTTTTTCATCTTTTTGATAAAATAAATTTGTTTGAATAAACAAAGTAACTGCTTAATACAGCAAAAAGATCTTTATGATGGATTTTTATTTATTTTAAAAAATCAATTTAAATACAACGCAAGTTATTGTTTAAAAAAAGTGTGTTTTTATTTAATTTATTTAATAAATTGTCATCTTTTTCTAAACCTCGACCTTGTGTGACATTCTGTGCGAGTGGGCGTGTGGATAAATTCATAAATTACTGGATAAATTCCTGGTAATTAATTAGCGAAACTTGGTGTAGCAGAAGAACTGTTTAGTAAAGTTTAAAGTAGTACTCTAACTGGAAATTACAATAAAAACAGAAACATAAAAGCTTCCGTCTGAATCCTTCGTTGGTTGGTTGATTTTAGCGACATATCAACACCTCTATGGGTTATTTAATGCCGAAATGTAAATCTGAACACAATTTTATTTTATGGCTTCAACTACAAAGTGGCCATTTTGCTAAATCCATTGTTGGTAATTTTGCCTTAAAAATGTATTGTTGGTAATTTTATAAATACTTATCGTTGGTAATGTTTTTATATAAAAATGTATTACTGGTATTTTTACGATGAAAATGTATTTTTATACATTCATAGTGTTTTGCTTGGGAGTTGACTATTTGCCCATATCTGGGACCCTATCAAGTGGTACTACCCCGTGGGCCCTTGGTCTGTTGTTATCCTCATAATGAGTGTTCTGTTTATTATCAATTTTATATGAATTAAAGTTATTCCAAAATGTAAAAGCTTATTTTTCCTAGTTTCAGACTTGCCAACGTAAAAATCTGTATTAGATCTTTCAGAAAAAAAGAGATTTGACCAAAAATAAAGAGAAATAGAAGTATTTCATTGAATATTAATTTAACTGAGTTAATTCTCTAGAACACAATTCTTTGATTTCACAGCATTTATTGGCGCCATTATACTTTCTCATCCCTCGTTGCTTCCTGCCATTCAGCAATATGGGTTGCCCTGGGTACAGCAGTTCTGTTTCTTATTGCTAATTATAATATTTATGGAAGTGTCATTTGGGACCAAAATTAACCCTTTTCAGGCCAACATTTCACTTGTAAAAAAAAACCCTGATTCGATAAAATCTGTTATCGAAAAATATTACCTCGCTAATAATTAAAGCATGAAAAATGGTTTTCAAAATATGTGAAGTGAATAGGAATTATTATTTTCATTCGGCAGTTCTATTAGTAGAGAAAGTTCAATTGTTTATTTACACTAGGGAGAATTTTCGTAAAAACTAGCAGATTCGGTCAGTACGCTAGTTTGGAACCGGGAATCGGAATAAAAAGTTCCAAACCGGGAATTTCCTGGTACAATCAGAAGAGTTGACAGGTCCGTTAGTACAATCGAATTAATGAATGGGTAGACATTTATTTATCTTTTCTTTCTCTATCATTATTTACAATGAATTTATAGTTAGAGCAGAGTTGACTAAAAAATATCTTCTTACTTTACTGGTAGTATCACAATATTTTCGACCGCTGTGGTCTCTTATTGGAAATTTTTCCGTCCCAAAAATAAAATTGATAATGTGGTGTATCTTGGGAGCTGCCGTAATAAAACACAAATAAAAATGATAACTACACGGGCTCTGGATAGTAGTTTGTTTTTGTTTTGTTTTGTTTTTTTATGAAAGAAAAGGTTTACTGACATAAAACTAAAAAAACAAGAACATTTTTACAAACAGTGCAAAAATAACAACACAAAGGAAAGGTACAAGAATGTCCTTTTGTGTTCCCAAAACAAAATGATTGCTGGGGCTGTTTTAACAAAACATGTAAAAAAGAGTAAAGGTTCGACTTTAAGTTCTGTTCCAATCTAGAATCATTCAGCTTTCTGTCGATCTGTACAACCTTCAGATAATTTGGAACATCATTTTTCTACAGGGATAGATTGTTCTCATTTCCCTGTCCATGCCTGGGGATGTCTGGCCTTAACTTCCGATTCGCGTCCTGATCACTACAAAAAATTAACTTACACACACTTTTACATTAAAAAAAACATAAGCATAAATAAATTAATTGCAATTTTAAACTTTACCAAAAAAATCGAAAAGCTTATTTTGATTGTACTAATTATAACTATTATTATTATTATTATTATTATTATTATTATTATTATTTCCTTTGATTTCTGGTGTGTACACACTTTTCCCGAGTCGGGCCCAGAGACTTAAAGTTAGAAATGGTATCATGACATTTTCCACTGACCAATTAAAAAAAACAAAAAACATAAGCATATTTTACATAGATAAAGAAAGGAAAGCCCTTCGTAAGGTGCGGGCAGTACTTGTGAGAACAATTTTTTGTATTTCTTTAAGGCATGGAATCCCTTCTACTGGAATCTTTTCCAACCGATCCGACTACATCAGGGATTGTTGATGTTGCCATGTACCACATTTTTGAGATTTCAATTTCCAGGTCCTTATATTCTGATAGCTTTTTGAAGATCTTTAAAGATACATTGCAGGGACTGCCATATCAATAAGGAAGCACTTTTTTGTTTGCGGTCTCTAATAACAATGTCTGGTCGGTTAGCTTTGATTGTTGCCTATGTGTATTGTGTACTGTAGTCCCATAAAATTGTAACAGGTCCTATCTCCGTAACCGGGTCTGGGTGGTGTCCATACCAATTTCTTTCAGTTTCCTTCCCGTATAAGTTGCATATTTTCCAGTGCAGCTATTGGCCCACTCTGTCATGCC